TTCCTGCAGCCCGGTTTCCTTCTTGCGCATGCAGTGCCTACAATTCACGTTATTGCTGATCAGATTGCCAAGTTATCTATCACGGTACCATTCGCATGTCTTCATTCGCATACGTAGCGATAATTTATCGGAGCATAATACAAAACAAAGAAAAACGCAGAGAGAGTCCACTAATTTTTTTATCTTATTAACATTTTGTGCAGTGTAATAAATGTGAGTTATTGTGACCAATGAATAAAACTAAGATGTCATCATTTCGGCGTGACTTGGCGTTATTTTTTTCTGTTAAAACAGAAGATCACAATCATTGTGCATGCTAAAGAACCAGCGTATGTGTGAAACAAACAAGCCACGGTGTCGATATACATGTATACGCTGCTGCGATGTTAGCTTCCTTAATTCATCGGCGGAAGATGCCATGAACGGCGAATAAAAGTTCGACGAATAAGTTTTTTTTTTTTTGTGAAACCGAGGCAAGGTGAACGGTAGTACACTTAAACAACACTATTTAGTCTTGAGTCAATATTAGATTAGCAGGCGTCGACTTGAAGCGCACTCGTGGATGACTCGCTGGCGATCGCCTTTGCGCGAGTCCTTAGCGATCAGGGGCCTATGAAAAACAATGTGAGATCAATTTTTGTGCTAGTACGTCACTTGCTTACCAGCTATTGCGTCACATCCACTTTATTTTTGTTCCGCCGGAAGAGTTCCCTCCTTACAGAGATGGCGCTAAGTGGCTAAGCCCCATGAGCAGCTGATCTACCGCCATTTTCTGAATGTATGAGCTTCTATGGAGCCTTCGCTACCAGTCCATGTATACCTTGCACAGAGTATGACCGCCTTTTCGCAGTAGAGTATGCATTCACCCGGCACGGTATACTCCAGTCTATAGTCATATATATAATGCTCCACTGCTGACTCAAATGTCGCGGAATCGAACCCCGACAGCGGTGTCCGCATATCAATGCAGGCAGTATGCTTGAGGCCCATGTATTAAAATTGGGTGCGCGTTAAGGAACACGGGATGGCCAAACTTTTCCGAAGCCGTCCCCCGGGCGCCCATGGTGATAACATCGTGGTTTCGGCGCGTAAAGCACCAACCGCTGTGTATACTAGCATGTGTGTTCGTGCAGTTTTTTTTTGTTTTCTTTTTGTGTGTAAAGCATTTTTGAAGGCTATAGGTGTCATCGTTATTGCAAGCACACCTACCGTTATACCTACGGTGGCTGAGAGTCCCTCCTTTGTGCATTCGGTCGTTGTGCTCTATATAGAGCCCAATGAAGTATACTTCCCCCAAGTGACGAATGCTGCAGAAACGGCGAAAGCGACAACTCTTTATTTCCATGCTAGAACACACAGCAGAGGTTTCCAACGACAAGCAGGGCTCACTCGAACATACATATAACGCGCACGAAGCACCGGCACTCCAAGCTTCACGGTACGCCAACCATGCATCGCAGCGTAAGCAGGTCCTTTCGCGCGAACTATTATATATACAAAGTGGCGAGATCCATTGCTCCAATAGTTGTCTCACGATGTTGCTATTCCTACGCGCGTCCCACGTGCTCTTTCAACCCCTGATAAAGAGGGTACGGCACAAAAACTTTCAGTTGTTCTTTCGCGTTACGTGAAAGGCCGTGCCCTGAACAGCCTCAGAACAGCTGAGTCTGAGCGCACCCTAATTAAGTGCTTCGCATTCAAAATGAATTACACCATAATTTTTTTAAAGTATTCCGCTGCGGTGTAGGTGTAACAATGGGGTGGTCGGCTGCTGACCAGAGGGTCACGGAGGAAGACGGTCGCATTTCGATGTCACCGAGCGGTGTCAGTGTGCTGTAAAGACCACAATATGGTCAACACTTTCTAAGCCTTTGACTGCGACATGCCTCATAATCACATTGTGGTTTCGGCACAAACAACCTGAGATATTATATTGTTACGAGATGTTTTGAAGGCTGGTTTCGGTTCCTACTGTACCCTGACGTCAAAGCACCGTGTGAGCTTTTTGTGACGTTCTGGCGCAAGATATTGCGTCGTTGCCACAGTCCTATGACTTCGTTAGTGACACGAAAGCAGCCATTTCGTATATTTTAGTACCTGGCGTCATCATAACTAGTCAAACTGGAGCGTGAAGTAACCGTAGTTGATACTGTAGCCTCACGTCACGTGATAATGTCGATTTTAGTAGATACGCAATGTGCAAACTGACTTTGATAACAAGGTAAGGTTTCTTGAAAACATTTCCCGAGGTTAACGCTTGCTAAAGGCAGTGTATGTGTATATACAGGAGATTTGTATGACGCAATAAATTCAGCTTCGGAAATTTGTGCCAGTTCCATTTTAATGGATAGTATTACATGGTAACCACCAGCCCTTTGCGCACGTTATCACTGTGGGTTCCCACCACTGCATACGCGTCCAGCGATAACCATTATTTGGGTCAGACTTCCGGTCCTTGTCTTTTGCAAGATAGCTTGCATGCGTAAATAATCCGTCCCCAAACTTTTCTTATCTTGTGTATACCAGTGTGGGTATCACCCGTCTGGTTTTACGGATACTAAACCCTGTCCTAAAACAGCTAAGCCGCTGTCAAGAAAACCCATGCATAGAATCTAGTACCTGGGTAGCTAATCCCAAAACTATCTACTGTTAGGGAGCATTGAAATCTGCCACGAGTACAGTGAATCTACGAATGTAAGTCGTTGACATGAGCCTCGAAGATGACCCTGTAGTTGACTATGGAGATGACAGCGCGCACACTCGCAGTCCCAGTATATCTAGCCTGCAGGTGTCCCCACTCTAACCTACTCTAACCTGCAAGAAATGTGCATTCGTCCACTGGAAGACAAGGCAATGTAAGCGTAAAGACTGAACACGCTCATCCTTTTTGGCGTAATGGAAGTTTTTGTAGCGGTGAAACCACGTAATGTGGATTGTTTAGCTTGAGTCGACAACTTGACTCGGTCGAATAAGTATAAGGGAATCACTTACACCAACGGGCCCTAAACACTTACCGAGTTTCCTTCGATGCGTTCACAAGGGGCATTACGATCCCGTAAGGCAATCACGTTAATACGCATTTGTGAATGCGACAGGGAAAAGAAGCAGCGTCATGAGATTAAGCCATCGTAATTACTGCTCTTGAACGTCCATACACATGACTTCTAGTGCCGGTATTTAAGTTTCAGTGGTTGTAGAAGATGCCAATGGACTTCGCTTTTACTTATGCTCCATGCCTGTGGACATGCTTTACGCTCTCCCGTCTCGACCAGTCCGTCCTTCACCACCACGTAGGAGATATATATATATATATATATATATATATATATATATATATATATATATATATATATATATATATATATATATATATATATATATATATATATATTGATGACCATTGAAAAGGCACTTGCGACATTCAGATTCGCTCTCTTCGATAGACATATACTCATTAAAAGCCGAGTACTTTCGCTGCATAACATGTATGCTCAGAACGGTACATGAAAGCGCTGACAACACGGCTTTTTTTAGCGTTTTATACTTTTTTCCCCAAATATCCTTATTAGGAAGCAGGCAATGTGCCTACGAAGGCTGAAATTGAGGACCGAGTTCACACACAGGAATGACAGCTATTCTATGAAGATAAAAGCCTACAGAACACTATTAACTTTAGCTCTACTGCACCGTGGGCCAAAGAAATCTGAAAAGGTACACTAACGTGTCCGAGCCCCAATTCTGGGAGGACTGGTCTCGCGATTACTTGGTCATTATACTATACACGCTGACTACGTAACTTTCTGCAGCTTCAGCTGTAGCAAAAAAAAATTGGACTGCAATTTCTTAGCACGATGTTTTACGCTTAACAAAACAGCAAATGCAAAGCTCCGAGAAGTTTAGACAATAATTTTACAAAGCGTTCAACCCAGTACTGTCTCGCTTGCTTTTCGTTTCGCCGAAGGCCATCGCCTTCTGAGATTTTTAACAAAGCCGATAGCTGTGACAGTTTTAAAATCGAATCGGGTAAATGTCAAGCTTCAAATTTTCGCTTTAAATAAACACCTCAAAAATTCAAAATGTAGGAGCTAATTGCAACCATCAAGCAATCTTCCCATTTATCCACGGTGTACATTTACCGATGGCCTTCTCACTTTTACTTGCTTACAAAATAATAGAAATAATGCACAAGAGCTGAGAACGGCACCACAGAAACAAAGCCGTGGCAATATAAACTCAAAGACGGCGACTCGGAAAGTTGATAACTTGCACAAGCGACATTATCATTCATTCGAAACGCCCATTCCCAAGAGTCACTCTTCCCCAAAACTATGTCGTATTTCTCCGAGCCTGACAGATGGCGGTTCCGTTTGGTAAAAACTTGTACGGCGAGTCAGTAAAGTGCCTGCAGAGAAAGTAAACTGCTTGAAAACACCTTCGGCCACGCGCTGCATTGGGTGCGCTATTGCCCGCAGCGAATGAGCGTCCAAATGCGTGCTTCGGCATTCGAATACACTTGGTCACTCTTAACGGTGTAAATAGCGCTGAGTCGTGAACATGTTTTCGCACCGCACGAGTTGGTACACTCTCTTAACGCCACGGTTGCCATACGATCACTGGAGTGGTCAGTACGACCGCATGCGTGCTTACCTCTTGTCAGGCTGCAGTGACGGCTCTAATGAACACATGCCAAGCGTGGGCACGCTAAAAATTACACTTTCTTCGAGCACTTGGGCAACTGCTCCTTAATGCCACATACGTCGTGTTCGCGTAGTTTGGTCTTACGAGCTCAAACACATGCGCACCTCTGATCTCAAACATGCTCGCACGCCGCTGATGAGCAGGTACAGACACATACGAGTGTACCTTCAACATGCATGAACACAAGAACATCCTTGCCTATACGTCGCGCGTGCGCTTAATGCCGCTAGTGTCGTGCGTACGTGGATTGACCAGTACGCTGTCAGAATATGTCCCTCAATGAACAAACAGCACACGAGGCAATCAGGAACACAAGAAGAGATTCACGAACAAGCGACCATTCTGGGGCGACATGCGTTCAGAAGACCTGCACCGAGTGGTTCTTGAAGTCGCACACGACCACTTCGTTCTGCGCTGTGATGGCGATGCCAGAGATCCAGCTGAACTGTCCACTGCTGGAGCCCTTGTTGCCGAACGTGCGCACGTGGCGTCCGTCCGGACGGCAGATCTGCACCCGGCCGTTGCCGCTGTCCCCGACTAGGATGAAGCCTCGGCCATCTACCGCAACGCACTCGGGGTGCATGAAGTGGCCCTTCAGCGCGCCCTTCTGGCCGAAGGTGTGCAGGTGTTCCCCGTCGCTCGAGAAGACGTGCACCCTGTGGCTGCCGAAGTCGCACACCACGACGCGCTGTCCGTCGGCGCTGACCGCGACGCCCGTTGGCTCCTGGAACATGCTGCGGGACCGGTTGAATGCATTCTCGGGCTGGGCGTGGGTGCCGATCTCGCGCAGGAAGATGCCGTCGTGGTCCAGAACCTGCAATTGATTGGCAGATCGAGTGCTTGCTTACATAAAAAATAGTGATAAGAAATCTGCGTTGATGTTTTTCATTATAATCTGCAAATTGGACAGTCTACGGTAAAAATTATATTGCCAGAATCTTCATGCACACATTTCCAAGCGCGAATCTACCATTTTGTTTCGAATTATTCTGGTAAGTTGACAAGTAACTGCAACAAAGCTTCAGATACTTCCGGCAGAGAAGTACCATATAAACGCGGGGCACATGAATCAAAGAAACAAAGCGAAAGCCTACTTGAGGCACAGCTCATGGCTCATTTCGAGGTGGTCGTTTAAGAGTTTTCTGACTGTGTTTGAAAGTAGTGAATTCAACAGCTTTAAAGTTATATAACAACAACGCGGTGGCAGTGAAGTCATTTTTCTCTTTCCTTTCCTCATACTGTACTAGGCCACTTATTTTAGTAGGAATGTTTAGTTGCTCTTATAGCCTCTGGAGCAATCTGGAATACGCACCTGAATCCTGTGGTTACACGTGTCGCACACGTAGATTCGCCCGGCGTTGTCCACGCATATAGACTCGGGGCTGCGGAAGTGACCCGCCGAGCGGCCCTTCATGCCAATCTGGCGCAGGAAGTTGCCGTCCCGGTCAAACACGTGAATGCAGTGCTTCCACTTGTCCGTGATGAGGATCTCTTGATCGATCGGCGATAGGGCGATGCCGAACGGGCACAGGAATTCGCCCTCCTGCTGGCCCCGGCTTCCGAAAGACCGCAGGAATCGACCGTTCGTCGAGTCGAACGTGAACACCTTGTGGTTGTCCATGGACACCACGAAGATCTCCGACGACCACGGGGACACGGCCACGCCAGACGGCCGCTGCACCAGACCACTGCCCAGCCGCATGCGGGTCAGGAACGACTTGGACCTGTAGAGGCGAGACTGGGCGTCCGCGGCTACCCTCTGTTGTTCCACCTTGCTTTGGTTCGGCTCGCTTGCAGGCTGACTGGGCGTGCTCAGCGCTATCGCTGGCGAGGACGTGGAGTTCGGCGTCGTCTCCGGGCCACCGCTAGGAGAGCCCGGTGGCTCCGCTTCATCTTCCGCGGCGTCCGTCCGGCACACAATTCGTCACGCTGAACGCCTCCGGGTCGAAGCTCAGTTGCGTGTTGCCAACGGTCGTGACTTCGGAGAGCGCGTCCCCGGCGTCTTGGTGCAGTTTCATGAAGGCCCGAATCTGGAAGCATCGTGGGCAGAAAGAATTATGAAGTAATCCTTCAAACAGCTGACGTTAACCAAGCACAAAATCAGAGTAAATCTTATTTAATTTGCACTCATTCATATGAAGAAATGCCATTCCACTCCGATGTTACACATATCCGGCCAATACTTTATGGATTATCCGGCCAATACTTTATGGATTATCCGGCCAATCGTTCACGGAAGAAAATGCTCAAAATACTGCCTTTAGAGGTTTGCCTTTCCCTTTATTATTGCGTTTGCATTAATAATTGTCTTCTGTCGTTCGTGTTCTTTTCTATTGACCCCTCCCATCAACTAACACACAATTTGTCCGACAGAACACTGACATCTCCCCTTCTCTCGTGTGTACCATAACTCAATATTTTTTTTTCGGTGGGGGGGGGGGGCACCTTGGGCTTGAGGCACAATTTACAATGTTTTCATTCGTGACAACGCACCTACTGCTGACAAAATTCATCAAAGTGTGGCGTGTATGACATAGCCAAATATCGACAGCCAATGTATTAAAAAAGAAAAAAAGAACACAACAAACCACAAGCCTTTACCCGTTTGTTGTACTACATACGGTAGTTAACTTGAAGGGAGAGGGGATCGCAATCTGGCCGCTGGTGCCATATCATCAATGACTGCTTGTTTTGGTCACCGCGATATGACGCGAAAAGAGGCTGTCGTTGCTCTCGCTCCTAATTTCAACGGGTAAGTGAACAGCGCATCAACAGGTAGTAACTCTCACATTTATCCCAGGGCGGTGTCACAGAATCCTAGTGAAAGAATCACTCATTGCAGTAAGCACCGACTAAGCCTCGTCGATTGTAAGGTCTGCCAACCATACTTGAAGTATGTATGCGTGGTGCTGAGTTTAGGGGGCGCCACTCACCGCGAACTCCCCCTCCCACATAGCCATAGTGGGAATGGCGATGGAAGGTATGTGTGTTATTATTGAGTGGTCACAATCTCCAATAGTATCCGTAAAGGTGGACGTCAATTCTTGTCATTCATTTGTCCTATCGGGGCTCATTCTTTTATTGTTTATTTGATTTGCATACGAGAATACACAAAGACACAAAGGAAAGAGGGAGAGAGCAAGCTGTCAATTGCCACCTGGAGGGCTACAACACCTGCTTACTCTTTCGTGAAGCGGAGAGAAAAGATAAAAGAAAGAAAGGTAAGAGGAGAGAAAGAAGAAAGAAGAGAGGGACGTAAAGAAATAATACGAAGACTGAAACAAGCATAAGTAAACTAGAAATAAAAAAAACGTCTATAAACGGGAGGCAAGGTCTGTTTGGTTCATAGAGGTCAGTACATAAAACCCAATTGGCCTGGTCGCGTCCAGAAACACAACCTCTGGGAAAGAGAAAATAGGATCTTTTGCATCATTTTATAATGCACACGGTTATGCTCATACGGATGTTTTTCGTTTTTCCACGATGACTGCAACCAAGGACTCCTGATGTTTTATTAAAGAACTGTTCTCTTCGTACCTTTATCCCAAAAGACAGAGGACCAATGGCAGGCCTTAGTGAGAAGCACATCATAGCTTAGATATTATTTTTGCAGTCATGGCGGAGCTCACCTTCTTTCGGATTCAACCAGCACTGTCGCGAAGCTTGGTTTCTGCCAATGGAGAATACAGCGCACGCCTACGCAATTATTACGCACACGCAAGCAGAAGTGAAACATTTTGGGGATCTGAAGCTCCTAAACCATTTAGCAACATTGAGGTAGCTATAGGTGATGATGTATATGCGTTCTTTCCCGCTGTTGCATAAAATAGAGGTGTACTGAAAATATGTGACATAGCAGAACGAGACTCACACTCTCTGGTACAACACAACAACCTTCTTAATATTCGTAAGTCAAAGAGAATAAGCCTTTTCAGACACATTTCATCATTTCCTATTGTTATAGCCACATCTATGCTCGTCATTTAATTCATTTTCGACCAAGCGAATTTCAAAACCAGCCAGAAATGAGGCCACTCTCATCGCCCGAGTCGGCACCCGGCCGAGTATCGAGAACAATAATTATCTAAACAACAACAGGAACAACAACAACCACAGCAAAAGCGAAACATCTCAAATGACGACACTGTATTGCACAGTGCGCGACGACCTCGAAGGCGGCCCGCTAATTACGGTACGCTCTTTCGAAACTAGCGCAGCTCTGTGAATCGCTGTATACTGCCGCGTTGCTTCCTGTGACCGATTTACTCCCATAGTGTGCCATCAGTAAAATGGCATTACGTATAAGCCTCTAATGCTGCCACTATAGCACTGACAAAAAAAAAGAAACTATTATAAAGAACTTCAGGCAGTCCTTGATGATTGATTGATTAATTGATATGTCGGGTTTAACGTCCCAAAACCCCCATATAATTATGAGAGACGCCGTAGTGGGGGGCTCCGGAAATTTCGACCACCTGGGGTGCCTTAACGTGCACCCAAATCTGAGCACCCAGGCCAACAACACTTTCACCGCCATCGGAAATGCAGCCGCCGCAGCCGGGATTCGATCCCGCGACCTGCGGGTCAGCAGCCGAGCACCTTAGCAACTAGGCCACCACGGTGGGGCCTTCAGGCGGTCCTGACGTGTACACTGTGGGCTATGTACACTGTCAATTTTTATGACAGGGAACACAGGAGCGCGTGGCCTGGGCGCTCCAATCTAGGCGGCATTGGCTCCAGCGGCTGCTTGCAGCGCGTTAGAATGGGAGCGAGAGCAACCACAGCCTTTTTTTCGCGTCCTCTCTCGGTGAGAAAAACAAGCAATCAGTGATGATATAGCACCAGCGAGAAGATGGCGACCTCCCTTCCCCTCCAATGTGAATACGCAAGAGCCCGGTAATAACCTTCAAGGAAAAGGGGGTTGCAATTTTGCCGCTGGTTCGGTATCAACAATGACTGCTTGTTTTGCTCGCCGCGAGATGAAGCGAAAAGAGGCCGTGGTTGCTCTCGCTCCCACTTGAACACGCTGCAAGCATGCAGCCGCTGGAGCTCGCATGCCACGCGTTCTCATGTTTTCTTTCAGAAAAACTGACAGTGCACACACGACTTCATTACTGGATATATAAGAGTGAATGAAAATCATGTTGTGCTTACACAGAACGGATGTACGAGGCTTGCATTAGCCAGTGCTTACGATAATATAACCAGCATACGTGAACACTTGCCATCATTAGCAATCACTTGGCAAATACTCAACAAATATAAACGTGATGACAACATACGTCATCTTTCTAAAACAAGACAAGGTCTCGACTAATTTTATGAATACCAATGTCTTGTTGTTGGTGAATCTGTTGTTGAATATGTGTGTTTCTTACTAATTTTTTCTTTTTTTCTTATCGCTTTGATTTGTGTATTCCTATTTAACTATTGTAACAAGTGAGAATTCTTGTTAATATTTGCTGCTGCTGTTATTGTTCAGGGAAGTGGGACCAGTCAAGCTGCCTATATGCAGCTTTTATCCCAACATCCTCGCTGTTTAAACCTCTTTTGTATCTACTTGGAAATAAAGTTCACTTCACTTCCCTTCGGTTAGCCATAATTAGCGATCATTAGCCTGCATAAGAGAACATTGATTAATATTAGGGAAAATTTAGCCAGTTCTATGTCGCCTTCTGACAGTAAGCACTCGAGGTAATCACTCGAGGTAATCACTCGAGGTAATGACAGTATTCGAGGTAATCTGGTTGTCCAGGACATCATCGCTCATCCTTACCAAATAGCGAAATTGGATACGAAGTATGATGTACACTAAGATCCACGCTTGCATATAATGAAAAAGCAGCAAACACGTGAACATATGTTAATTAGCTTTAGTCACTTGCATTCCAGAATAACTAACGATTTTGCTGCTCCCAAACAGGACCAAAATATATTTGCACGATGGTTGCATTGACGCCCAGCAATACAATGAAGAGAGGTTGCTTAAAGAGTTACCTTTTCGTTGGGGTCTTGTGCCGCGTCAATACCTTTGGACGAGAACAAGCGCGCACCAGTGGCGGCTGCCCGCACCTTCTGCACCACGTCGTGAAGGCCCGTCTCTTCGGCAGCCTTGGCGGTCTCCACGCGAAGCATCAGCTGCGCCTCCAGATCCCGGATCTTACGGACGCGCTTCTCGGCCTCCAAGCGAACCTTGGACTGGATGTCGCTTTGGCTAGACTGCGTGCGGAGCGGAAGTGTTCGGGACAACAAAGAACGCCGTTCGTCTCCTCAATTCCCAAGTAAAACACCAATGGTGTCCATATTTTATGCGCTTTAGAACGTAATCTACTGAACACGTTGAAGCGTATATGCAAGCAGGGCGTCTTTGTCCTCAGTGCAAGCAGTAATACCCCAACGCCTTTATTTGCAGTATCAAAGAATCAGAAAATGCGACATCATATAACCGAAGAATTATAGTGAATCGTGCGGTACCAAAGTAAAAGTGATGATAATATGCGATGAATTTTTCGTCGAAGGGACCAACTACGGCATAAATACGTCAGCCCAAAAATAAGCCACTCATTCATTCATTCATTCATTCATTCATTCATTCCCTCATTATTTCATTTTCTGATTGTCAAGAGCTGACCCACATCTGTTTCTACTCTCCAAATCATGTTCATAGTGTTGGGAACGCCTGCATTCGCTAATCCACGTAATGTCAACAATATAATAAGACTTCTTCATAAGAGGATTGACTATAGTCCCCTACAGTGTCTGTTTATCAGAGGCAGTTTTGGCGCTCGCCACAGAACTTTTTATTTCTGTTATAAGAAGTGCGTTACCTGTTTAAATCAGTGACACTCATGCCCTGCAATTATTCCCTATTTGAAGCTAAGGATGGGCTCATTTAAAGACGTCGGACTTTCAGAGACTCACTATTTCTAGTTCTTTTTCACATGCTGCTGATAATAGGCATTCCTCCAATTATGGGCACTGATTAAGGCATTGTTTGATCGTACCGAAACCCCACGAGGCAGAATATAAGAAAATCGGGCAAATTAAAAAGATAATATTTGTTCGGACATGTCCGTGGAGACAAGTAGCTTTTCAGTAATATTCTATTAGTCCCTCGTTCAGGCCGCGATCTGTTATGAATGAAAGCTTCCCGAGAAAGTCGTTCATATTACGTTGTACCACGTCGAGAGAAGACAATATTCCTGAAATTTGTCTTAAAATAAAATATATTTTTATGAAACAGTCACCCATGACACTTCTGATTTCGTATGAATACACTGCCAATAAGAAATATTACACAGTAAAGATACCAGAGCCAATTCGTCGTATCAATTTCTGAGCTTGGTTTTACGCTTGGCGCAGTATGATCTCACGCCTGCAAACCCGCCGGTGCAATAAAACAGTCCGCAGTAGAGGTAACGTAACAGTTCCGAAAAGCTTAGTCACGTCCACCTACTTAGATCGCATTCGCATTTGGCACACATTCCGGAAAAGATCGTTTTTTTTTTTTTCCCTTTCGCTAGGATTCACTCCAGCGAAAGACTTTCCTTTCGACGGGTACAAGCGGACGCACGCAATACGGGACGCAACAACAAGCACGCAAAAGAAGCCAAACCTCAAACTTCTTGTATCTCAGCGTAATCTTGTCGACGGTAGCGTCCAGCTGGTCGGCAATGTGTCCCAGCTGCTTAGCCAACTCCTCCACGTGCCTGGCCATGCAGAGCGAGCAGTACGAGAGTTTACAGTGCTCGCAGAACACGCTGTTGCCGCTCACGGTTTGGCAGCCGCAGCACTGGAGTAGCTCGTCCATCGATGCGTAGTCAGACTCGAGCAAGTCCAGGATGTTCTGAAGGTGAATGCTGGACGGGAACCCCGAGATACCTTCCTTAGGGAGGAGAACCTCGGTTCGGCACTTGGCGCAACGCAATCGGCTGGCGTCCGCGGACATCACGCTGTTCTGCAGGCAGAGGAAGCAGAAGGTGTGCTGGCAGGGAAGCATCTTGGGTCGGTGGAGGCGGTCCAGACAGATGGGGCACTGCACCATCTCCTTCAGGCTCTCGGTGCCCTTGGAACTTAGGATGGTGATCGAAGCCTGTCGCTGGGCAGCATCACCACCATTCCCGTTGACGTGCAAAGGTGTGGGGCCGTTCGTTGCATCGACCGGGGAGTGACTTCCGACGCTGTGGCCGTTAACGCTACCGTTTAATGTTGCAGTCGAGGAATGTAATCCGTTCTGGGGCGAACGTGAGAGCGCGCTCGTTGGCGTAGCTGCGGACTGGGATATAGTAGGCAGGGCTTCAGTCGAAGCAGATGAAGAATTCCCGTTCGATGAGGAATGGTGAGAACCCTGATAACTTCCCGCTGCAGGCGTCGAGGGGGCATTAGCAGGTCCTCCACCCGACGTCGAAGGACTGTTAAAGCGACTACGGTAGTCGGAGACGGGATGCACTGTGGGACTGCTGATTGGAGTCGCGGGAGCCGTCCTCACCTCCATCTTGCCGGGAAAATGAACCAGCTTCGGTTGTGGAATCCTACGAGAAAAGGATCCCATGCAATATTGTAAGTAAAGCATCAACAAGCAGCTCATACGGCCCATGTAAAAAAAAAAAACATGTAGAGACGATAGTAGTAACAGTGTTTTTTTTTTTCTGCGGAATATGAGCAGTTCTCGCTCTTTGGTTGCTCCACTTCGCGATGTATGCTCTAGCTCCAGTAAGAGCTAAAACACACAATAAAAGTATGCTGCTCTTGCTGAAAATGTACAATTTCATGGTAGCAATACTTTGACTAAGACCGTGTGTGAAACAACAAGAACATGCCTGATAACAACATACGGCGATGTCTCCGGCGCTGAATATATATACGGTTTTTTGTCTATGACGGCACAACCTTCATCATAGTCGCAGTTGCAGAAATGTATTAGAACTTTGCTTAGACAACCAAGAACACTTAGCCAATCAATGACGGCAGACTTTGCTTTCGATGTGGCTCCAGTTCCAGGGTTGTTTTTTTTTTTCAAATCCTCGCAGGTTTTTTCAGGTATATCTTGGGCGCCAGGCAACTTACAAGTGCAAGTGATGTGTACCGCGGTAAACACCTGAAGCCTTAAAGGGGAAATACAGCAACTTTGTATATTTACCTATTTCAACATGAAACTGTGAACATGTGTTCTCGTCGGTACCACCATTATCTGTGCCGAATTTTATAACCGCGAGTCATTTAGGTTGTTTAGAAAACTCGTTTTAAAAACTGGTAGCGGTAGCCAATTCTGGAATCCCGCTTGTACACGCCGACCACTCAGGGTATGTGACGTGGGTGCCAACTCTTTTTCGAAACCCGCCTTGCTCAGCAGACGGATGCAGCGCGCGCTTTCTTCTACGAGACGACGACGACGCGAGCACCGTTCAGTGTCAGCTGCATACAGCGCGTTAGTCGTCGTTGACGTCGAGTGTTTATGCACAATATTGATCAAAGAGGAGAAACATTCGGGGCGTGTCAGATGCTTAACCCAACGGGGGGTCGAAATCAACGGGCTATATGCTTCTACGCTCAGACAGTTGCTGTAATCATCGCTGAACTTGTCACTGGTAAGTTCAGACGAGCCAGCACCGCTTGATTCCATGTCGGATGACATCGTAAACTCGCTTTTCGCACGTCAGAAGAGACACGAAAGCTATGTTTAAACGCTACCCAGCCGGTGGTGGTGCGTAGCGGATTTCGTGATGTCATCCAATACCCACACTATGGAGGACGGAACAGCTCCCTGTTTCAATTTCTGTTTTGACTCATCGTTCGTTACTTAATTAAAATTATTTACGAGTGTGTTGAAAAAAAAATGAACCACCACATAGCTCTTGCAGGACTGTCAATACCCGGCCTTATCTCAGTATGGTCGAAAATTTGCATTTCCGTGTGCATACAACTCTACTGGCAGCCGTGTGCATTTTATATACAATTATTTGTTGGTGGTTATGGTGTCATCTGTCATCTTTCACCCAAAGGGGAGCAAAACTGCCAGATCTAGTACAATCCAACCGCCCAACCGGCTGTTTATTTGTTATGCATAAATGCGTAATTTTTTTGTTAGCACATGTATTTACCCATTTTCGACTGGTACGCTGCTCGATCGCCAAATAGAACTATCAAAGCTTCTGACGCCGTGCTGGGCTGGATAGAAATGGGGGGAAAATTACCACGATGCCTAACCACACACGTCAGAAGAATATCAATAATGTACAACTGCATTACTGCCCCAACAGCTTCGACGTTTATACCTTTGCGATGCATCAACATGTAAGAACCTTTGCTCACACGAAATGACGAGGCGCGGGACGTAACAACGAGCGTAACCACGAAGTCTAAACCCCCCCCCCCCCCCCCCTTGGCGCTGCTGCCAAACACGAGTAGCTCGAGGGGCAACAAAGCCGCACGACACGCCTGACACTAAAGTTGGCACAGCCAACGACGAGTCTCAGTCGCACCCGGACGTTCCCAAGTTCACTCATAGAGCCTTTCACTCATTTGTTTTTTTTTTTTTTCGTCTCGTTCCCTTGAGCAACCGCGTAATTGGAAGCGTGCGCGACGTGCACCCCGTCACCCTCGCATTACCTGAATCGTGTATAGTTATACGCGTAGACGAACAAATGTCCTTAAATAACGTGTATTGTCCATCGATTTTCTTGATGCGTCGAGGAGGAAACTTGCCCAACATGCATGTCTTCAAGGCGGCGTCCGTACCATTGTCGTGGCACATGATCCGTTTGCCGCACACGATTACAGAAAATAACATGTTCGGACAGCAGCCAATAGCAGCGAGCGTTACCTCAAGCGCAAGCTATGACGTAATTCGTAACAGGCGTCCCGTCTTTCCTCAACGGATCGATCATTGCAGTTCATTGTTGTTGTGCGCCTTACGATCGCTTATGTAGACAGGTGGAGGAGAATATTCGACTACGACTCAACTCTCGCTGCTCCGTCCTTGTTTTGCCATGGTGTCTCGCCAACTCAACGAGCGAAAGAAAAAGATCGCATATAACTAAACACGGCTAACAGCACAGCCTAAGCCCCGAGTACCAGTTAAAGAAGCTAGTTGCTGGCCGAGTTGTTTCAGAGTAGTTATAATGAATGCGCTAAATATGCAAGAACGAGAGCTTCGAAGCCACTCGAACAGGTGCAAGCTTTCAAATCGATTTCTTCGGTATAAGCTTATCATCACGTACGCTCAGTAAAAGCGGCTTGCTGACGAAAAAAAAAAAGAAGACTTGTGTTTGTATTAACGGCAGTTGGTTCACGCTTGCCAACGTCGTCTTTTTATCTTCGCCTGTATAGTGCATTGTGATTGATTGATTGATTTGTGGAGTTTAACGTCCCAAAACCACCATATGATTATGAGAGACGCCGTAGTGGAGGGCTCCGGAAATTTCGACCACCTGGGGTTTGTATAGTGCATTGTGTACTCTTATGACAAAGCTAGCACGAACGCTGGCGCCATGCTAAGATTTTATAAATTAGTGTACCATGCCTAAATGTACGTGTTGTCTCGGTATGATAACAGAGTCTCAAGCTCCAGCGAGGTGAGTTTAGAAGTGACCTTCTGTGGGTGTTGCTTGCCTTATACATAGTTATTAGCGCGAGTGTATCCGGCGACTTTGCAGTTCTGTTGCTCACGTGCTAAGCGCTCGCTTCCCCTCTCGCAAAAACACTCACAACAGGCGTATTACGATGACCATGGAGCGATTTCAGGGTTCCGGATAACAATACTTAGCGCTAAACGAAGGAAGCCTGTCTGGACGTTTCACGAGGTCAGAAGTATTAGGCTATATGTGGCCTGTAGCATGCAACAACGTGACTATCGTATTCTAGCGTACTTTCAGCGTGCCTGTTACCTGGTGTCTGTATTATTCTGCGCAACGAACACGGATCCGGCGGGTTCGCGGCGTCTTTCTTACCAGCAGCAGAACTAACGCGCAGTGCATTTCCGTCCTGGTTTGTGTCCCAAGAAATAAAACCTTTACGAGAGATAAAATCCGCGATGTGAGAAGAACAGAGGGGTAGACGAAAGATGTTCCATCTCGCTCCCATTAAGAAAAAAAATTGACATTTGAAATTCGGCATACGTGAATGGTTCGTTGGTCCCTCCCGACTATCAAACTCTGTTGGATTGCGTTTGTTCATGTGCATTTCTCTCGCGATTCTATAATCACGCTGTCGTCCGCTGGTCTTCTCATCGGGACAAAAACAAAAAAACGAGGGAAAAAAAGAAGAAAACGATGGCAGGGGGGTGGGGGGATGGAAACTTGCGATGAAAAATTGTGTAAACAGGAGCTGTGTGCTGGCGCCGACGTTTTGACAAGTGATATTGTCTTCGCCAAGGCTAAAACATGATTTCCGTTTCAACTTTGTTTTAGCCTTGAAGAAGACAAGTACACTTGTCGAAACGTCGGCTAGAGCACAGAAGCCTTGTTTTACAAAATTTTCCGTCAGTCAGCTCTTCACCGCATATATGCTTTCGACAGTGACTTCTAGGTCCCCTTGATTAAATGCCTGTACGCCGCGCTCCAATTCATGTAGTATCCAGGTACACGCGCGTATAGAGTGGGGGGAAGGGTGGAAAGGTTGCGATGAATATGCCACTGTGTCTAAGTGTGACATTGATTCGCTAATGTCAACAAACAAGTTAGACAACAAACTTCTCTCAGAGAAAAGAATATTATGCCATCATACAGACCACGTCGCAGAAGAAGGCCGTAAGAACGCTGCAGGAGTTCATGCAATATACTGACATGTCTGAACGATTTTGAGTTGGTCTCTCGATTGTGTGTGCGGCTGTGGCTTTTATTGTTATTACTATTACTTATTTTGTTCTCTCTCTCTCATTCTAATCACATATTACCCCACCCCAGCGCAGGATATGATGCTGGATTGATTGATTTGTGGGGTTTGACACCCCAAAACTACGATATAATTAGGAGAGACGCCGTAGTGGAGGGCTCCAGAAATTTCGATCACCTGGGGTTCTTTAACGTGCTCACGGGCCTGGAACGTTTCCGCCTCAATCGGAAATGCGGCCGCCGCAGCTGGCATTCCATCCCTCGACCTGCGAGTTAGCAGCCGATTACCTAGACCACCGCGGCGGGGCGAGCATGCTGGATAACACCTTCTGTTTATCCTACCTGCCTTCATCTCCTTTTTCTTTATCTCTTCTCAGCAAACAAACGAGACGCCGATATTCCCAACATGCATACTTTCATTGACATTGATTTCAAACGTTCGGTGTCCCAATGCTCAAGAGGAAAGGTTGGACGAGTTGGCATACGTCTTCATGATGAAAAACATAATACATGCCGATGATTTACTGGGGTGACAAAAGAGCGGACGTGTAAAAATGCTGAAAACGAGTACCTGCTGACTCCGCTCTTCTGTCGTACTTGCGTTTCCCGCAAAATAGAGTCCAATGAAGTTGACGAGTATAGTGGTGGTTTGAGGACAGAAACGACGCTTTGCAAACTATGAGGACCACGGCGGCGTATGT